CCTAACCTATACCGATGATCTTTGCTCCACGTGGCATTCGGAGATGTTATATTTTATTGTACTTGAGGTATAACATTACAATTTAAAGTTTAAGTTGATAAAAATAAAAATATTCACTTTAAGTATATTGTATATAATGTGAGAAGCAGATGCTTTATAAAGTAATAAAGCAATTTTAGATTCTGAGCAAAGCGATGAATATATTGTTACAATGCTGTGTGTTTTTAAATTTTTATTTTGTGTGCACACATACATGTATACACGATAAGTAGTGGAAATAATGCTTCGGTATCTTTTCCGATGGCAAAGAGAATCTAGTTGGTGCATTAAGGAGGTCAACATTTAAAATTCCTAGTTGTTTTCAAGGCGCCTAGAAAAAAAATTTAACTAAACTCTAAACAAAATTACCGTACACACTTGAAATTTTCACTGAATGTTTATATTAAAATTTTCTATACAACATAACATTTTTAAAATATTTTGACTCATGTTCAGCTTAGACATAATACATATATGAAATGTTCGATTATTATTAGTTTTTTTTTAAATTAATGCCGATAAATACATTTTAGCCCTGCCAAAAAACTTGAAAATGTAATACAAGCTTCCAAGTAAGTTGTTGTTAATGAAAATTAAAACAAATTGGATTGTAAATCCACAATAATTTTAGATTCTGAGTGGAACGATGAATGTATTGATTTTACAATGATGTGTGTTTTTTTAAAATTTTTTTTGTGTCTGTGTGCACGATAAGTAGTCAAAATAATGCTTCGATTTTGGACATCTATATCTTGTTCGATTGGAAAGTGAATATCGTTGATGCATTGGGGAGGTAAAAATTTAAAATTCACAGTAATTGTCAAAAGCGCCAAGAAAAACAAAAGAAAAATTAAGGAAAAACGGGAATTTTTACGCAAAATAGATTTTTCACAAAATTGAATTTGGTTGTTGGTGTAACTTTAAAACAAATGACCTTAGATACATTACATTTTCACTGACTGTTAATATTTGCATTTTCTATACACGATAACCTTTTCATAATATTTAGATTTATTTCGAACTGTTTAGGGACAATTTCATTAAAAATTTTTTTTTAGTTTTTTTTCTAAAAATATCAATAAAATTTTATTTGTTGGTTGAAAATTTAATAGAAGGCTCCTAGTATATTTTTTCAAAGGCAGATGAAAAATATTGAAAATCCTTAGTCATAGTTTTATTTTATAAGCATTTAAAGTTCAAAAATTGCCAAAATATGGAAAAATCACGAAAATAAGCAAATTATTTTGAGTTAAGAATTCATAAAACTTTTTCTTTTTAAATCTAACATTCTAAAATGTAATATAAGATTCCTTATAAGATAATCTACCTTTATCAAAAAAAAAAAATGTCAATAAGAAAGTCAAATTAAATTTTTATGAGCGTTTGAAATTCAAATTTTTACAACATTGGATATTCACTCGATTTCTCATGTAGCGACTTCCTTATTTTGTTGTAATTCAAAAACGAATAACTGTAGATACATGAAAATTTCACTGAATGTACATATTAGCATTTCCTATACACCTTACAATTTTGAAAATATTTTGACTCTTTTTGAGCTGTTTACTGACATTTTCAGTTTTCAATTTTTTTAGTTTTTTTTTCTATAAATATCAATTAAGTTTTATCTGTTGGGACAAAAAGTGTAAAAATTTAATACAAGGCTTCTGATATATTGTTACAATAGCAATCGAAAATTATTAAAAATACATAGGCACAATTTTTTTTATAAGCATTTAAAGATCGAATTTTGACAAAATTTATCAAATTTAAAATTGAATAATTATTTTGTATAAATATTTTATAGTTAAAAATTTATAAAATGTTCAACTTTTATGTCTAAGGATTGAAAATTTAAAACAAGATTCCACGTAAGTAGTTGATTCTGTTACCAAAAAATCTAAATAATACAAAAACAAATTTTATTTTTATAGTCATTTAAGTTCAAATTTGGACGAAATTACCTAAGAATAACTATTTTAGTTATTTTGTTATGATTTTATAATATGATTAGTTGGTAATTGAAACTTTTAAAGTACACTATTATATATATATGATAGTATCAGGGTTTGTTGTTGATGTATAACGCGTTATAACTTATAAGTACCTAATGAATATTGTGATATGATTAATTTGGAATTTATTATAGGTCAATTTTTATTAACACCATAGATAAGTAATTTAAAACAAAGATTCTCTTAAATAATTCATACTGTAACCAAAAAATCTAAAAAATATATAAACACACTTATTTTAAATTCAAATTTGGACGAAATTACATATTAAAAAACCTAGAATAACTATTTTAGTTATTTTGTTGTGATTGAATGAATATTATTCGGGGGTACTTGAAACTTCTAAAGTGTACTATTATATATCTATGTAAGTATCACGGTTTTTGTTGATGTATGACGCGTTATAAGTATCTAATGGATATTGTGATATGATTAATTTGGAATTTATTATAGGTACCTATTATAGGTCAATTTTTTGTTTAATACCATAGATATGTATATAATATGTCTTATACCTAAACTGACATACCGTCTCCGCTCAGAATCGTTTTTCTTATACAATGTTATTATATCATTGAATTCAAATTTAATAAGCACAGTTTATTTTTATAGTCATTTTAAGTTAAAATTTGGATGAAATTACATAAAAAAAACCTAGAATAAATAACTATTTTAGTTATTTCGTTGTGATTGTATAATATTATTCGTGGGTACTTGAAATTTCTAAAGTACACTATTATATATCTATGATAGTATCAGGGTTTGTTGTTGATGTATAACGCGTTATAAATACCTAATGGATATTGTGATATGATTAATTTTTAATTTGTTATAGGTACCTACCTATTATAGGTCAGTTTTTTTTAATACCATAGATAAGTATATAATATATCTTATACTTAGACTGACATAGAGTCTCCCCTCAGAATCGTTTTTCTTATACAATGATATTATATCATTGAATTCAAAATATAATACTATCCATTATACACTGACCCATTTGTAACCTACTGTACAGCAGAGCATCTTTTTTTTCATTTGATTTACTTTTTCATCAAACAAGATAATGAATTTCAAATTGAAACATTATTTAGACTACCTACTCACCGTGTAAATTAACAGACACATAGACACAAAACTTTTTTTTTTTAAAACACACATCATCGCTCCATTCAGATTCTAAAATTATAATTTATAGATGAGAATATATATAAGGAAGGCCTTGATAATGAAAATGTGAAATATTAATTAACCTGGCCAATCTTATGAGCTTGGAAAACAATATATATTAATTAGGTACTTATAAAGTATAGGATTTAATAAATTAATATTAATAGGAAATAATATTTTTAAAATTGTAGGTATAAAATACATATTTATTTTCACAATTATCGCTCTTATTTATTAAAACTAATAGAGTAATATAAGTACAATTGTATAAATGCAATAAATTCAACAAATAAAATGTTCAGAACAATGTTCAATTATTTAAAAATAATTTAGGTTATGTTTTGAAATTATTATATGAATTTATTGCATTTATACAATTGTACTTATATTACTCTATTAGTTTTAATAAATAAGAGCGATAATTGTGAACATAAATATGTTTTTCGGGGTATACGGACAATTGGTCTCCCCATACAAATGTTGTACCTACCTATGCTGACAATGGCCCCCGTCATAATTCTATAACCCTGCCAATTTTTTTGCTTGAGACAATCAAATTTTTTTAGTAACATCTTACTAAATATAACTTACAAACAGTGTATTAGTTTTAGTTTAATCATGGTTGAAATATATATTTTCATCCATAAGTGTAATCACATTTTTGAATAGAGATCATAATAGTTAATAGATTGGTACCTATCACAATAGATATACAAATGTTGATTGTTTATACAGTTTAACACTATTAGCATTACAATACTTACTATGCTAAAAAAAATTTTGTATTTAACTTATAAACCGGGGGAACAATTTTCCTGGACCAATCGTCCTGGATCAGTTTTTCAATTGGGCACCGATATTTTTATTTTCTAACCGATTTTGTGTAACGCTTTGTTTATAACCATAGGAGCAATACAAATTACCTAATTCCCACTAGTTATATATATAATTAATGGTTACTTATTACTATATATTTATGATTCTTACATTTTCTTGGTTGTGGAGGTATCGAGTAACGAGCTTCGTTTACATTACAACTTGACGATTACATTAAATTAATAACAGTAAACATTACAGGTACTAATAAACACAATCAATACATTAAATGCTCATTTTCAATCAGACAATGGCATAAGTGCATAACTACGACCGCTTTGGTTAAATTTTTTGTCTTCATTTTTTCATCGCCGTCGTACTGTCGTATTGGTTCGAGCGTTTCAAACACGATTGAAAAACCCGCCAAAATTTCGAACGATGTCAGCCGCTTGCCGCGTAAACGGTGATAGCACAAAACGATAGCGCCGATGTTTCGTGGAATAAAAATGGCTGCCTTGTACGCGGAACATAATTTGAAGCGGTGGACGTGACACGTAAACGCTTTCGACTGCAGCAGATAATAAACGTGATTAATAATATTATCACTACGACTACACGAACGTTACGTTTTTCTGATAAGTGAACATTTTGAAAACGTACACATTTCACAACTTCACGGGACGCCAGTCATTTAAATTTTGAAGCAATATTTTATCGTTTGACCTTGTTACTCAGGCCTTTGCAGCGCGTTCTGAGTAACTAGTTCATCGACAATCAACCGCATCGTCGTCGTGAACTTCCTAGACGCGTTGTGGTTACAGTCGAAATAGTTTTTCGTTTATATCCATCGTGCGAACAGTTACGATACGGTTTCGAGATTTTTGTCGATCGCGTTTCGATTAGGTAGTACACATTTTACGGACATTGAGTTTCACACGAATTCACTGGATTAGTACTACCATGGCAACCTGCGATGTATGCATCCACTTGTCCGACATCATGACGCCTCAATCGTTTTCCAGCTTAATCACAACGCTTATAAAATATTTGGTCTATGAAAAGCAACTCATTCCTTATCCGTACGACCGTTTGAAGTTGTACGTGCAGAAATATAAAGAACTTAACTTTGAGGTGAGTTTGATGCGACCATTGAGCCGATCGTAACTCTATTATTTGATGATTACAATGCACGATCCAGTACAAGGTGTTAAATAATAATAATTTGTTAATTTTGTTCTGTTAAAGCAGGAAAGCAATCGCTGTAATCTAAAAAATAAATACAGACTGGAGTCTGAGAAATATTATAAGAAAGTTTCAGATGCGATAATAAGTCTTGAGACGGTTTTTAAGGTAACCATTGAAACATATTATATTTTATTAAATTATAAGTTAAGATTTTGCTGGATTAAAATATTTACTATATTATATTGTATACATTTTATACATATTGATGTACGATCTACTCTTGATTGATTTGATTGCTTTATCTTTGTGAAGTTATTAAGTTACTATGTTACATATATATTTTTTTTCAGTGCATTGAAAATGAATTTCTTAGTCGTGTGGAAAATCATATAGAATCAGTTGTAATATTAATTGGTTCAAGTGTACTTAATCCTTTGACTGTATTTAATATAAATGTACCAGAATTAAGTTATTCACATTCTGAAAAACAACATTCTTCTAGGCAGCATATAGATAATGTATTTAGGTGAGTATTTATTATTATACTTATAGTTGATAACATGTTTACATCATATATGGAAACTTAATAATAAAACTGAACAAAAGGTATCTGGATTAAAAGCCTCATCAAATTTGACCGTTAAATTAGATTTAAATTTAATAAAAAAAACTGACAATGAAATATGTAAAAAATATTTTTTATTTAACAATAAACAATGACTTTATATAAATAAGACTTCAAAAATAATTTTTATATTAATATGTGAGGAAATTGTGTTAGGATATTTAATTTTTTTTAGTTATATTTCATATTATTTTTACACATGGGAATATAATTTTAAAGTGGTATTTTTATAGAGTTATCGTTAAATAATTAATCATTTTTAAAAGTAGGTTTTACATTTCCAGTAATGTAAATTATTTTATATTATTCAAGCCTGGATTAAGAGACGTGGTATAAAGTTATTAGTCTTGTATGTATTGCCCTATAGAGTTGTCTGCTTAAGAAAATTGTGTACTCGCATGTGTTGTCTCCATCAAACTAATGCATAATATATCAAAATGTATGTGTCCTGCAGTTCCAATTCTGTGTTTTTAGCTTAAATAATAGAATAAATTGACATATTATCATACTTAAATGTAATAATGTTATCTGTGTTCTCTTGTTGGTTTTTTACAGTATTTAAAATTTTTAGTGAAATGTGAGCATTAATATATTATTACATACTCATAGACAGTGGCGGCTATCTCGACAAATATAACAGGTGCTCACTTAAAATGAACTAATACCTACCCCCTACCAGTATTTCGGGTAACCTAAAAAAATTACTCATTTCATAAAAAACTTTTTAACCTACTAACATTTAAAGTTTATTTTAAAGACCTAATAGTTACAGCCCATCCACCCCAATTATGTAAGGGGTGCTTGAGCACCTTTGCAGATACGTGATAGCCGCCACTGCTCATAGAGTCATAAGTAAAAACTCACTTACAATTTAAAATATCGTAAAAAAACCAATGAGAGAACACAGATAAATAGATAATGTTCTTACATTTAAGCTTGAAAAAAGATCAATTCACTGTAATATTTAAACTAACAATACAAAATTGGAACTGCTGGAACGTACATTTTCTTATATTATGTGGTAGTAAGACGGAGACAACATATGCGGGTATGACATCCTCTTAAATCTATATTAAGTGGTAATTACCTAGTACATTTTATAAAATACCTAAGAATATTTTAAGATTAACTAAAGAAATATTAGTTATAATACATAATAATTATTACTATTTGTATGAAAATAATAGTACCGGTACCACCTAACAGTGTCGTTACTGTACTTTTGTCTGATGCCTCCGCGTCTCTTGACTAGCGCTCAGCGCTAATAGAAGGTACGCGGTTGTAGCCGTGAGGCAATAAAACCCGGGAGTCTTCGTGTACTTTTGATCACTGTTTGTTAGAATATTTTGACTATTTTTTTTCACAAAAGATGATTATTGAATATTTTTATATTCTTAATAGTTCATTTCATAATTTACCACTGCTAAATTCTGGGTATATTTTTTTTTGTAAACATAAAAAACTGGATACCAAAATCCAATATTGTTCAGATGGGCATTTTCATCAAAAATATGTCCAGAATTTAGAAGTTGTAAATAATAAAAGTAATCAGTTGTTATTGAGTTCGTAAGTATTTGATTTAAGATTTGAGAATACCATTGTTCACAATTTCTGTGTTTTATTAAATTAATTAAAACCATTTAATCCCTAAGTGTATTGGTAGTAGGTATTTGAGACAACATTAATTTAGTGGTTTTACAATGGTGTTTATTTTTTTTTTTTATCCTGTATACAAAATTTCTACCAGAAGGAGTGCTTCAATTTTAACTTATAGTATCTTATCTTTAGAAAATTGGATCAAAATAATACTTTGAGATGTAATTTTTCGATTTTCTCATTAGTTATTTAATGCCACCGGAAAAACCACCAACAAATTACAAAAATCTGCCAAAAATGAGATTTTAATTTCTAACGCTTTGATTATCACAATAGAAACGAATAAAAATAAAGATTTTAGTTATTTTCTTCTAATTTATAATTTTAATTCAACCTACAGGCTATAATAAAATATAATCGCAATATAAAATATCCAGACTGACAAACAGTTTCCGCTCAAAATCATTTTTTGTATACAATGGTATGATATAAATGAATTCAAATTTAATACAATCTATTATACAGTGACCCACTTATAATCTACTGTACAGCAGAGTGACATCCACTTACCCGCTTTTTAAATTTTTTTTATGTATTTGACTCACTTTCATGAATTGTGACAAGTGAATATTTTCATAAATTATTGATTGTAATATTATGTTTATTGGAACACATATTTGTAATTACTGATACACAATATATAATCAATATTTTATTTTATTTATATATAAAAGATAAAAAATATTTGCATCTGACTATGTACTTTAAGCATTCCTAAACCGTTCATCCGATTGTGATGAAATTTGGTACAGGGATGGATTATACCTCAGGAAAAAAGTTAGACTTTATTTTGTCTCGAAAAAATGTAAATAATAGGTCTACCTGATTATATACTGCTCACTTAATCACAAAAACTTAACAATAACAACGCATTTTTGTGTCGAGCTGTTCAGTGGCGTATTTAGGAATTTGTCATGGGGAGGGTCCAGATAATTTTCAGAACACAGAGCCAAGGGGGACGAAGCCCCCCACACCACCCATTTACTCTTTATTAAATAAAATATACCATATTTATAAGACGATATAAAATTGTCGAGCTTTTAAATAATTAAATAATAATATGCACAAAACAAATTTAAAAAAAAGCGGGTGAGTGGATGTCACTCTGCTGCTGTACAGTAGGTTACAAGTGGGTCAATGTATAATGGATTGTATTAATACTCAATGATATAATATCATAATATCATTGTATAAGAAAAACGATTCTGAGCGAAGACGGTTTGTAATTCTTGATATTTTATATTTTTATTATTTATTATAGCATGTTAGTTGAATTAATAATGAAATACAGTAAAACCTGTGTAATATGGAACCTGAATAACGTGGAAACCTGACTTTTATGGAAAAATGTTACGGTCCCGGCGAACCTAATGTAGTTTTAAATATATCGTTCCCTGAATAAGATGGAACCTGTTTAACGTGGAAATGGAAACAATATTTTGTCATGGACCTGTATATCATGGAAATATGTACATGTACTATTTTAAAGTTATCAGTCAATTAATATAATCTATATCAATTTCATAGATTATTTCATTGCAATAAGTTTATTTTATCGATAAGTGTCGTAGTAGTGTTCTGACGTAGACTGCGTATAGACGTATATGTTTATGTGCCAACATGGAAAGAGAATTTGAAAAACCTCTAGTTATAGGCAAATCACAAAAACCAGATTCTTCAAAAATGTAGATCCGACAAAATTTCCCAGAATTTGGCGAGCTAATAATAAAGCATGGATGACTGGAAGCATAATGGAAGATTGGTTGCATACATTCAACAATAAATTAAAAAAACAACATCAAAGAGTTATTTTATTTCTTGATAATGCAACATTTCATCCGCATTTAAATTTATCAAATGTTCGTGTAGCGTGGCTTCCAGCTAACACGACATCACTTACCTAACCAATGGACCAAGGAATTATTTATTTGATTAAAGTAAATTATCGTAAAATTGTTTTACAATCATTATTAGCAAGTATGGATACCATAAAAAGTGTTAATGAATTGTCAAATAAAATTAATGTACTAGATGCAATTAATAATTAATAATTAATAATAAATAATATGTAAAATATATGAAATAAATGAATTAATAATAAATAATAAATTATATTTAATAAAGATCTACCTATCGTGAATTTTTTTTTTACAACCTGCATTAAATGGAAATCTGTCTAAAATGGAAAAAATATCCGGTCCCAACCGTTTCCATATTACACAGGTTTTACTGTACTTTTATTTTTTATTTTTTTCTATGGTGATAGACAAAGTGTTAGAAATTAAAATCCCATTTTTAGCGGTTTTTCGTAAATTTTGGTGGTTTTTACAGTGGCATTAAATAACTATTGAGAAAATCGAAAAATGACCTCTCTAAAGTACTATCTTGATCCAATTTTCTAAAAGATAAGTTACTATATGTCTATACATGTTGAAATCGAAGCACTCCTTCTGGAAGAAATTTTGTATACAGGAAAAAAAAATAAACACCATTGTAGAAAAAATAGATCCCTCAGAATCGAATATATAGTTATATGTTATAACTTTTATACAAATATTTCCTTAATTACATTAGGTACCTACTTCATTCATAGTTGATCTTAGATAGCTTTTTAACCTTAAAAAGTTTGAAAAAAAGATCTCTCTGGAGTGGTTGTAGATACCTACTGGAAATGTACAAAAACAAAACTACAAAATATTTGAATAAAAAAATGAATTTGGTATTTTTCAACCATTTTCGGTACCCAACTGATAAAAATAATCACGATATTTATTGAAAATGTTGATATAACTATAGCTTCGAAAATTTTTTATACAATCCGTAAAATCGTATGATAAAATTTGTTTTTTAATCATGTAAAAACTGCACAACATTTAACATGTACGAGACACGAGTCAATGGGAGGGGTCCGGACCCCATGGACCCCCCCTGTAAATACGCCACTGGAGCTGTTCAATATAAAACTGAAAATAATATTGTTTTATATATTTTGTTTCACTTACCAGTTTTTCATTTTACGCATATTTCAAAATAGGTCGCCAGGATAATCGATTGTCAAACAAACATTTTTAGTTCCTTAATTATTTTATTACCCTAGGACAACTAGTATTTAAAATATGAGATGTTAACAATATTATAATATTTATTATTTAGGTACAAATTACACATTATACAAATATTATAATACTAATTGTGTATACATATACGTTCATATAAAAGAAGATGTCCTGACTGACTAATCAATGTACAGCTAACATGGGCTCACAGTCACCCAGGGATTTTGTTTCCAAAAAAAGAAATAGAATATGTCGTTGTATATAATAATGTAAAATATATGGTTGCCATTGGGCCCGTAGTTTAAGTAAATAAAAAAATAAATAGATAATAAAATATACCAAATCAATACTTTATGTCTTTATGAATGCAAATCATTCTACTAATACTTTTGGTTATTTATCTATTTAATTTTTTTATTTGCTTAAAGTAAGAACCCAATGGCAACCATACATTTTACATTTTTGTAAGTTTTTTTATTCTTAAAATGTTGGTAGAATCAGAAATCACTTAACGTACTGACCATACACATTTTGAAAACTGTATTAGTTCCAATATTTTATGTTTTCATCTTTTAGTAGTTATCTCTTAAATAAAAACAATATTTAAAAAACAAATTGTAGTTTTCATAAAAAAAGTAAGAGTAAAAAAAAATTAACATAATGATTTCTTTTCAAGCGTTCAATGTTTATTTTCTTATTGTAAAAATTGTTACTGTACATATTATAATATTATTGAAATAATCTAGTATTCTAGTAGTTATAGTACATACTTGGATCCTAGTCCGACCAAAATGTTCTGATTGTACCATTATTTTTAACTCATTGATGTATTTCGAAAAAAAAAATTTCAAAAATGGATTTGGAGCTAAATTGCATTTATGTCCCAAATTAGTAGTTTTACTTTACATTTTAAGAATTTTATTTTTTGAGTTTGAGGGGGGAAGGGGCACAAAATGTTTAAATGCGGCACTTGAATCTGCATGACCGTCACAATTTCCACACACTATATTTAATATTATTAAACAATTGGTGGCTTATTTTTGTGTTAATCCAAATTTGTTGGTCTTATTTTTTTATAATACATATAGTATAATAAATAATATATATATATATATGTATATATGGTGCCCTACTCTTGAGATCTTAATCCAGGCTTGTATGAATAATAATTAGGCATTGGATACAAATTCTCTGATACATATAAAATTGTTTTCACTGTTTCCCAAATATTTTATTTTAAAAATTTTAAATTTGCCTATGGATGTGCACATTATATACCTTTTAAATGTGTGTTTAATATTTATCTATTTTTTTAAGGAATATATTGAATAATGACAAGTTCAACGATATATTAACATCAAATATAATGGTTGAAACAAACTTGTATGTGATGTTCAAAGTAAAGAAGGGTGGAAAAATGGCTACTAATTGGTGTGTGCCTAAGGAGCAGTTTCGTTGTTTCCGAGGTAAACAAGTGGTTTTGAGATTTGACCAACCGGACGATGAGATCAACGCCAAGAAATATGAAACATGTTGCATCAAAGATTGCTTAAATTTCGAAGTATTTGTTGATTTTGACAATGAACCAAGTGTACAAACATTGAATAGTACATTCACAAACAGTGTCGTTGATTGGTATTTAGGGAAACATCATATAACAGGTTTTAAAAATTATAAATACAACGGTATTCCTATATCAGATACTTGGTTGAATCCTACTATCATTGATCGTATGGTATCATAACCTAACCCATGTATAATGATTGAAATTTAGACAATTTAATTTTTTACATAATTATACATTGAAATTTGTCCAATTATGAATCTAACTTTTATTTTAATTATTTATGATGTTTTTTTTTTTTTTTTTGTGTACTGATTGTTTTTGTAGATTCTGTTTATAAATACCCAACGTATGTACTAAAGTATGTAATTATTGAAAAACAATATAAATATTTTTTCTTACCAGTACAAAAATTATTGACAAATATAATAAAATTCCAAGATAAATATCATTGTTAACAAAATATGTATACATAAATTAACAATTTTTTAGTTTTTCTTTTTAATATTATATTGCATTATTTATTATAACTATTATGTATTTTTTTTTTTAAATAAAATACTTGCCGACTATTTATTGTTTTTAAATTAGTTATATAGACAATTAGTGTCAAAAACAGATTGAAATTGTATACCTGCTATATTGTTTATGGTACGCCAAATTCTGAGATTTTTAAGAAAATTTTACTTTTCCCAATAAAAAAAGTTCCCACATGGTGAATATCACCTGAGTGTGTAGGTAAGAAAAAAATAATTTAAAATGTAAAAATATGAATTGCTTATTGTTTAAGTTTTATTATAACTATAACCAGGCAATATGTCTACACTATAAGGTTTCCTAATTGCTTCACTGCAGTTTATCAGTGTAGTTACTTTTTTTCACTAGGAAATATTTTTATGAACACTAACTACTCGGTATAAAAATTCTTTGCAGTTTATTTAACATAAAATTGTATTACATTATCATTAAAACATAAATTTTTCAATGAAACATTGCTTCATATTATAACTCATTAAAAAACAAATAATAATTAAAAATAACTGTTAGCTCCTGGCTGTAATCAAAAATATTTTCATAATTCTGGAAATTTTGGCTTGGTGTGTTTGATGTTAATCAAAATCATTTATGAAGCTAAACATAAAATTAAATGATTTATTAAAATTGAGGTTAATAATACAAGTGCAGTTATATAAGTTTATAGACTTACTGGTATCTTTTGTCACCACCAAAAAATATGTATCAAATTGGATTTTATAAATGACTAGGTTGACTTTGAATTCCAAATCTCAAACAAGATTTGGAATATTATGTTTCAGCTGCAAAAATATGGATTTTATCATACATTAAGAGCATAATATAGTATCAGATATAAAAGTGTTGATGGATTCATGGAGGTATGGAGCATTTATCAATGTGTAACAAACTACTTTTATTAAAAAGTTTATATTTTTTTATTATTATTATTATTAGCCAAGTGAAGTACAAATGGGCAAATTATAATTCATTACTATTCTATAAATATCAACATTAATATTTAATAAAATAAGATATTAACTGCAATTTTGCATTTAAGTTTTTTATAGTATTTGAAATCTTTTGAATTATATTTATATCATTGTGAGGTAAAATGTACAAATTTTGGTATAACAAGAATAGTATTACACTATTACCTCATTACATTCCATTAGAGAAGTAAATTTGTCCATTGTTTCTTCCGGTTTCTGAACATTTAATCTGTTAATAATTGAAGACCAAGCCTAAAACATGATAAAACATTAATAATATTTAGGTAAAATATTAATATATTAGGTAGGTAATTATTAAATTTAATTGATTACCATGTATAATGATTCGTCCCAAATTGATGACATAAAGCAAGTAATGTTTACCGGATTGGAAATGTTAATTAGATCATTTTGACGATCTTCAAACAACTGTAGGATGAATATTGTTGTAATTAATCGTTTAACAAACATGTTTTAAATTGAAACCAACTTGAATGTAATAGTAGTAAAAAAATACCTTTTTCCTTTGATCTTGTGCTACCAGATCTGTTTTATGTATTAAACAGAACACTTTAGCAGAAGGAGAATGTTCACAAATAGCACTTAAACATGTTTGGTAGAAATTCAAATCCTTGGCTAATTCTTCGTTTTCGTTTTTCATATCGAACACGAATATGAAGATGTCAACGTTGCGAAACATATTGTTTTGTTTACTGCCAAAGTATTTTTTTAAATAAATGTCTTGTCTATAAAATAAATAAATAAGTTATAGTTGAAAATATCATAATATTGTTTTATATAGGTAATTAATTAAAATATAGATATATACTACAGGTAGGTACATAAAAATCATTGTACCTACCTATTGATTAAAATTAAATTAAATTGATAATATTTTTAACTTAGGACTCATTATTTTGAGTTCAACATTTGAAGTAGCTACACTCAAAAATATTCTGCACCTGAATATGAAATTAAAAATGTAAGATGTACTATTTATGTCATTCAAAAAGTAAAATTTTAAAAATGAAAATGATAAAATATAGAGAAAATATAATTTATTAAATTAGGTATACCTACATGAAATTCAAAAATATACGACTTATAGTATCATCGTACAGGCGCGGATACAAGGGGGGAAGGAGGGCTATGGGGCTGAATAGACTAGGACTTCGGTACTTAAAATATTTAAAAAAAAAGAAAGACTTCCGACTTCGTACGAAATACAAATCGACATGCGCAACGAAGAAGGCAATTTTATAATTTTTTTTTTTTATTTAGTGTTACTATGGTAAAAAAAATGGAATTCAAGCACTTATTTTAGAAGATTAGCCTTTGGCAGTATATACCCATTGTTTCAATCACTAATTGAATTTATGTATTTCCAAAGCATGTGAAGTACAAGCTATTAGAAATTTGGTTGGTATTATTGGCAATGTATCTGTTTATTAAAATAATAATTATTAAATAATCATTTATAATAACCAATAAGCATATACCTATAATGAATATTTTATTCACTATAAAAACTGAAACTAAATGTCCATGCTTTTATGTACTTTAAGTACATTTTTTTATTCTAGCCCCACCCCCTTTTTTCATTTCTAGATCCTCGTCTGTCACCAAATAAGAGATTTCATTTGAATGAAAACTTACTTAAGGGGCCTGCTCGCGACCTGTTTTTTTGCTCAAAAACATTCCTTACAGGAAAATCTCTCACGCCTCGTAGATTGGTCCGATTTCCGTAATTTTTTTTTTTGTTAAATAGAAGAAGACGTATTGCAGGGCGCATTGGACTTGGATTTTCAAAATTATTTTTCGAAATCTTATATTACAAGTTTGAATTTAATCCATTCTTACAACTTTTTAGTTTTTGTATTATTATTTATTTTTAGCAACGTAATCAAAAATCAAAGTCCAATGCGCCCTGTCAAAAATATTTTTCTATCTAACAAAAAAAAAATTACGGAAATCGGACCAATCTACGAGGTGTGAAAGTTTTTCCTGTAAAGTGTGTTTTGATCGATATAATAAACCCCATCAACCCCCCTAAATAGGTATTGGGTAGTAGATTAGTGGAAAAGTCTTATAATTGAGGTGGCAACTAAAATATAAAATTACATTTTAAAATTTTATAGAGTTGGGGAAAATTTAAAAAGTCGCGACCAGAACCCTTAAGGGGATTCGATATAGTGTTTTTCTGTTTTTGTCTAACACACGCGCGACATAGTATTTTAGACGTATTTTTTGCCAAACATACCAATTGATATAATGAAGCGACAAGAATACTGAAAACAGATTTTAAAGATTTGAATCAGTCGTCAAGTCTACTTGAAATCGACTTTCCCATATTTTTGATATTATCCACCAAATTCTTAAAAATGTCATATTCAAAAAGCGTATTTAAAAATTCTAGTATTTCAATTTTTGGAGAAGTTAAAATCAAAAAAAGAAGGTGCTCTGCTGTACAGTAGGTTACAAGTTGGTCCCTGTATAATGGATGGTATTAATTTTGAATTCAAGAATTTAAGAAAAACGATTCTGAGCGGAGACGATATATCAGTCTAGGTCAGTGGTTTTCAAACATTTATTGAACGCGGCACACCGTGCTCCACAAAAAATTTTCACGGCACACTGACCATTCTTTTTCGCCCTAAATAATTATATGAACAAAATTATTTTGAATTATAATTATGTAAGTACATTTAATTAGAAGTGAGTGCTTGACCAATGACGGGCTAACAAATTTTTATAAATTTTATTTTTATAATTTTATTCTTGAACGAATAGTTGAACTTTCCGAAAGACCGCGGCACACTCAGTGAATTCTCGAGGCACACCAGTGTGCCGCGGCACCCAGTTTGAAAACCACTGGTCTAGATATAAGACATATTATATACCTACTTATCTATGGTATTAAAAAAAATGTTATTGTTAAAATATAACAGGTACCTACTACCTATAATAAATTCCAAATTAATCATATCAAAATATCCATTAGGTATATCGTATATATAAAGCTTTATACATCAACAACAAACCCTGATACTATCATAGATATATAATAGTGTACTTTAGAAGTTTCAATTACCCACGAGTAATATACAATCACAACAAAATAACTAAAATAGTTATTCTAGGTTTTTTATTATGTAATTTCGTCCAAATTTGAATGTAAAAGGACTATAAAAATAAAATTTGCTTATGTATTTTTTAGATTTTTTGGTAACAGAATCAACTACTTAAGTGGAATCTTGTTTTAAATTTTAAATTTTTAGATATAAAAGTTGAAGATTTTATAAATTTTTAACTAAAATATAATTATTCAATTTTAAATTCGATAAATTTTGTCAAAATTCGATCTTTAAATGCTTATAAAAAAAATTGTGCCTATGTATTTTTAATATTTTTCAACTGATATTTTAACAATATATCAGGAGCCTTGTATTAAATTTTTACACTTTTTGTTCCAACAGATAAAACTTTATTGATATTTATAGAAAAAAAAAACTAAAAAAATTGAAAACTGAAAATGTCCGTAAACAGCTCAAAAAGAGTCAAAATATTTTCAAAATTGTAAGGTGTATAGAAAATGCTAATATAAACATTCAGTGAAATTTTCATGTATCTACAGTTATTCGTTTTTGAATTACAACAAAATAAGGAAATCGCTACATGAGAAATCGAGTGAATATCCAATGTTGTAATTGTAAAAATTTGAATTTCAAACGCTCATAAAAATTTATTTGACTTTCTGGTAGAGATTTTTTTATTGATAAAGGTAAGACAAACTTATGAGTAATCTTGTATTACATTTTCAAATCTTAGATTTAAAAAGAAAAATTTTTACGAATTCTTAACTCAAAATCATTTGCTAATTTTCGTGATTTTTCCATATTTTGTAAATTTTTGAACTTTAAATGCTTATAAAAAAAAACTGTGACCAAGGATTTTTAATATTTTTCATCTACCTTTGAAAAAATATACTAGGAGCCTTCTATTAAATTTTCAAGCTTTCTAAACCATCAAATAAAATTTTATTGATATTTTTAGAAAAAAAACTAAAAAAAAATTGAAAATGAAAATGTCTCTAAACAGTTCAAAATAAATCAAAATATTTTGAAAATGTTATTGTGTATAGAAAATGCAAATATAAACAATCAGTTAAAATTTCATGTATCTGCGGTCATTTGTTCTAATGTTACACCAAAAACCAAATTCAATTTTGGGAAAAATCGATTTTGCGTAAAAATTCCTGTTTTTCCTTAATTTTTCTTTTGTTTTTCTTGGCGCTTTTGAAAATTACTAGGAATTTTAAATTTTGACCTACCCAATGCACCAACGATATTCACTTTCCAATCGAACAAGATATTGAAGTTGAAAATCGAAGCATTATTGCGACTACTTATCGTGTACACAGACACAAAAAAACACACATCATTGTAAAATCAATACATTCATCGTTCCACTCAGAATCTAAAATCAAAAATGTGGGAAAGTCGATTTCAAGTAGACTTGACAAAAAATTCAAATCTTTTTTCAGAAATCTTATCTCTTTAATAGATCAATTGGAATGTTTGACAAAAAACACGTCTAAAATACTATGTCACGAGTGTGTTAGACAAAAACAGGAAATCACGGTATCGAACCCCCTTAAAAAAAACTATAAAAGTCAGGAAAGTAAGGGTGTTCACAGGAACAAAATTCACAGGAATTATAAATATTGTTACCAACAATTTTTATAATATTGTATCTAAGAAGATCCACACATAATAGTGTAGGTACTTAAGGTACTAGGTAGTATTGTTGTAAGGTAAGCGGCCCGAATAATCGAATTTCATTTATTATTTTGTAATTGCTCAAACGGCTATTAAAATTATATATTTTGTTGTAAGATTCAATACTTTCATCCATTCAATGGCGTTTTTATGAATTTTGCTAGGGGGTGGGGGAATGAAATATATAATAATACACTATGACACCCATAAATACGTACAGAATATACATTTTTAAAATCACCTAACTTGTTACCCATTGAGGTTAGTGTGGATCAAAGCGAAATAAGTACAGTAGAAGGTACCTACATAATAGCATTTATTATAAATTCATACTAGGTACTGCCCATCCCGTGTTTAATACGATAAACAAAAAAAGATGGTTATAATACAAATGGTGCACAAATACACAAATTAATAAAATAAAGACAGTTTAAAGTAATAATTAATTACTTTATTTATTTTTTATACCAAATTAAATCAACATTTTCCAAACAAATTTTTTTATTTGTACCAAAAAAAGAAAATAAAGGTTTTTTTTTTAGTATAATTCATATTTTCTTACGACTTCACAGTTACAAGACGCAAAAAAAAGTCTATCAGTACGGCAGAAAGTCAGTACCTATAGTACCTACCTACCTACTCGGAGTCTCGGAATGGTGACGCTATCCGCAGTGCCATATCTAATAAGTAATAAGTAATAACTATTCTGGGGCTATTTAAGAGTTAGGACAGGGAAACATAAATTTAGTAAATCAAATAATACGTATTTAATAATATCGGGTATTATTATAGTTATTATAGGTAATAATATTATTATCTCAAGCCGTAGGTACCTATTACACATATACCTATGTATCACAGAACTGTTCCCATACCTACCTATACTAGCATAGACCTATAAACTATAACCTAGTTTATAGGT